GTTAGCCCTGCAACCTGAAGCAAACCATTTAACATCTACTAAATCTCAGTTTCCTCATCTTCAAAACAGAGATTAATAATGGATGTGCCTGAGAGTTACTGTAAAGATGAGTCACGTAGCACATTAAAGAAACTGACCCATAAGTATCATGAAAAGTTTTCAGAAGGAAACTGAGGATTAGAACTTGACTGTGGGTGGATGGCACCTGCTGCCACTATGTTAGACCCTGCCTCTCCTCAGATGAGCTCATACCCCATGGCTAATATAATGCCTGACAATGTTCTGGATAAGTATTGACTAAATCAACCAGTGCCATTTTCATGGTTCAAAACCTTCAACAGATCCATGATCCTTAATGAATCAAGGACAACGTCCTTAGCTAGGAATTAAAATCTTTTTAAACACGGCCCACCATTTCTCACTTAACCCTACTAGCTCCAACTGCTCTAACTCTCATGCCCCTGGTGCTACATCTACCTAAAATACAGGTGTACTTTGTTTCATTGCTCTGTGCAGATCCTGCATCCTTCTTAGCAGGTGGAAGGTTTGGGGCACCACTGTTGCAGCAGCACGTGCTCACTTTGTATCTGTATCATACTTTGGTAATTCTCTCAGTATTTCAAACTGTTCCATTATTATTTTATCTGTCAGAGTAATCTGTGACCAGCATTCTTAGATGTTACCATTGTAATTGGAGGGGCACCAAAAACTGCACCCATATAAGATAAAAAACAATAATCAATAAATGCTGTATATATTCTGATCATACCACTGACCAGATGTTCCCTATCTCTTATTTTTCTCCTCGGGCCTCCTATACCCTGATACCAATTTTAAAATTAGACCAATTAATAACCCTACTATGCCCGCTAAGTGTCCAAGTGAACAGAAGAATCAAATATCTCTCACTGGAAATCAAAAGCTAGAAATGTTTACACTCAGTGAGGAAGAGATGTCAAAAGCCAAGACAGGCCAAATACTCAGCAAAGTTGAGAATGCAAAGAAAATGTTCCCGAAGGAAATTAAAAGTGCTACTACTCCAGTGAACACAGGGGTGAGAGGAGAATGAACTTTTTGCTGATAGGAAGTTTTAGTGGTCTGAACAGAAGATCAAACCATCCCCAACACTCCCTTAAAACAAAGCCTGATCCAGAGGAAGGTCCTAACTTCCTAAGCCTAAGAGGCAAAGAAGCCGTAAAGGAAAGATGGATGTTAGCAGAGGTAAGCCTTTGGGGATTTAGGTGAGAGGGAGCTGGGTTTTGTTTTTTGTTTTGTTTTGTTTTGTTTTTTGAGACCAAGTCCCACTATGTCACCCTCAATAGAGTGCCATGGCATCATAGCTCACAGCAACCTCAAACTCCTGGGCTCAAGTGATCTTCTTGTCTCAGCCTCCTGAGTAGCTAGAACTACAGGCATGAGCCACCACACCCAGCTGGGCAACATGTTAATAAAGATATTACACTGTTTTTTTTAACATGCTATTGCATGTTTAACACACTACAGTGCAATGTAAACATAACTTATATAGGCACTAGGGAACCAAAATATTTGTGGGAGTCACTTTATTGCAGCAGTCTGAAACTAACCCGGAATACACCCAAGGTATGCCTGTACTGTCTCTCTTCACCTGTGTTCACAGGCAGAAATTTTTCAGGGCCCAATTCTAATTTCACATCTAACAGCAATTAGTCTTCTCTAGTCTCTAGATAAAAATCCACCTCCTAGCAGCGATCAGTCTTCCTTCTCTAAAATATCACAATTTCCTCCATCTCACTGATGCCCATAAACCTCTGCCTTACACACAGACAACACCTAAGAACTGTCTTCAAACAATTCGCTATAAAGTCCTCCCCAAAATAAGTACCGAATCCGGTTCCTTCCTAATTATACTGGTTCTCAACCCTTGATGCAAACTTCTTTCCTTTATAGTTTAGACTTATCACCCTGAAAGGTTCCAAACATCACAACAAGGAAAATGCCAAATTCTCTAATATACGGTCTTTATTATAACTAATTAAAAACACCCATTCATTAATGCACTGTAAAATGGTTCATGCAAATACTGGATTTTCCATCCTTGTTAAATAATTTCCTTTGTAATAAATGTGTACATGTGGGTATACACGTACACACCCTTTGATTTTGTAAAGGCAAGTTTTCCGGGCTACATTCTTCCCATCGTAAAGACAAAGCAAACTCACCTGTGTGCAAGAGCGATGTTAGTTTTTCAACTCAAC